GGACGCCGGGGTTACACCCCTACTCTTTTCGAGAAACACCCTGGGATTTTTAATGACCACAGAGAGTCAGGACCTCGGTTTGACGTCTAGTCTACTTTTTAGTCCTTCTCAGTTTTAGCCCTAAAGGTCTTTCTCACCAGGAAGACAACCTCTCGCGGTCCAGTTATTTATCATCTGCCAACATATCTTCAGTCTTTTTCTTGATGGAGGGGGTCTATAAATAGGACTTAAACTGCATTTTGACCCCTCTTCGTCCACAGAGCCCAAACGTGCCTTTTAAAACACAAATGCTTGTTTTAAAATCTTCACATACCACAGATACTAAATGTACTGCTAGGCCTGCCTTAGGAGAACAGCCGGTTTAGTTCATCAAAATAGAACAACAGATTCTATGCATATCTCCATATCTCTGTGTCGGAGAACATCTGAAGCCGAACATCCTTAGGATGAGACGTCAAACCGAGGTCCTCACTCTCCGTGCTCATTAAAAATCCCAGGGCGTCTCTCGAAAAGAGTAGGGGTGTCACCCCGGCGTCCTGGCCAAATTTCCCATGGGCCCTTACCAATCATGGCCTCCTAATAACCCCCCTCTCTGAACTGGCTTCATCACTCTGCTCTCCTCCCCACTGAGAGCTGGTGTGTCTGGGGAGCGTTCTGGCGCACTATGGCTGCCGTCGCATCATCCAGGGTGGGGGGGGCTGCACATTGGTGGCGGTAGTGGGATTCCCCATGACCTGTGCAGCGCTTTGAGTGGAGTGTCCAGAAAAGCACTCTATAGAAGCGGCGGCGATTATCATTCATTCGAGGAAACGGACGAAGGGGGAGGTGGGGGGTCAGACCAGCCCCCCGGCGTGAACGTGCTGGTGCCGCCTTAACCCACCAGCCTTGTTGAACCGCCGCCCACACTCCGGGCAGCCGAAGGGCCTGTCGCCCAGGTGGGTGCGCCGGTGGGCCCTCAGGGTGCTGGCGTCCCGGAAGCTCTTCCCGCACTGGGGGCAGGCGAAGGGCTTGGCCCCCGTGTGGATGTGCAGGTGGGTCTTCAGGGTGTTGGAGTGGGTGAAGCTCTTGCCGCACTGGGGGCAGGCGAAGGGCCGCTCCCCGGTGTGGACCCGCAGGTGGGTCTTCAGGGTGTCGGGGCGG